GCACTATTTTAAATACTTTTTACATATTGATGTATTATGAAAGGATCACATCATATGGCAGTTAGGTAATACTTGGTGCACTTCACATTTGATTAACTTTAGAAGAATTTACCCAATGTCATTAATTTAACCTACAAAACATAACATTATTTTTATTTTTATTTTTATTTTTTTGGTACCGAGGATCAAACTTGGGTCCTTGCGCTTGAGCAGCAGGCAGCAAAACCACTGAGCTAAATCCCCGGCCCCATAACATTATTTTTATAGAAAAATTACTAAAATTAAATCTTAGAGCATGACATTACAATTCTATCAAGACAAAAGAACTTTCAAAGAAATTTGTAATATCAAGCTATTTTTCTAAGATAAAATGCAGGAATTATAGCTATGTAGCTAAAATCTAAAGTTCAAATATCACCATTTAAGATAAATATAAAATAACCATAATCAACCTTTACCATAAAGTTTATCATAAAACAGTAATACTCAATCATGCTACATATTATTTGCAAAAATAAAGTAAAAGAAACATACTAAATCAGTCATCCAAATGTTAATTATCTGTTATGTTTAGTTTTAGTGTTATTTAAAAGCCTGAAGAAAGCAAAGGATTATGATACCAAAAAGTGGATTACCTCGACTTTATGAGCCTGGAATAATTTACTTTCTAAAGAAGTATCTTTGTACTTATTTGCACTAGTAAACATTACTAGCTGATGTAACATAATGATCCACACTGGCTCCTCTTAAAATTTCCCAATTTTCTCATTTAATGCATTGCCTCAGGGCTATGAATGTCCATCACTTCTTATGGTTGAAGGTTCACCAGTTAGTTATAAGTTCTTCTAGAAGGAATATGCAAGTTAGCCACACTTGGCAACTTATGCATTGTGGTTTTGTGGTGGGTGCTACCATTTTCTAAGGATTAAGAAAAATACAATAAATCTGAGACAAAACATATTATATAACTGATTACCTTGTATGTATTTCCCATTTCATATATTATAATTATTTTCCAAAAATTAGGGCTTTAAAATGGAAACAAAGTTATCTTTTAGTACCCCCATTACTGTAATTTTTGCATACTGTAATTTTAACCTGTGCCTAAATATTATCTTTAAAAAAAAGGAGCTAAATGTTAATATGTTCTCATTTATTGGTAAAAGGGAAAGGTGAAAATGAAATCCATTGGAAGAATCAAGTGTTCATCTTATATCCACCATAAGTATTTATAATGAACCAATTAACACGACATGTAAAAATTTTAATAATTTGGCTAAATATTAACTTAAAATGGCACCTTAATATGAAGATTCAGAGAAAGTTATAAGACGTTTCATCAACTGATCCTCATGTGGGTTCAATCTCTTACTCAGTCTCATGTTTTTTTCTGTTCATCTCACATGACTTTGCTTATCTTCTAATGTCACGGCTGTTGGCTAACATTTCCTCATAGTGGACTTCTGGCCAGCTGTCAGGGTGCGTGTGTGTATGTGATAGCAGTGGTAGTATGATGTTTAAGATGATGGGTCAGACATAGTATAAATGGGTATTTGTTTCTAGTAATAAAGTACTGAGTTTTTACATTTATGTATCTATAGAAATTACAGCACCTAATTTAGGCAAAAACACATGTATAAAGAGGTGCATAGAGGATGGTCACCTTAGTGTGTATTATCAAAACAACCTGAATATTCATCAAGGAGAAGTAAACAAATAAATAACTGCATAGTCATACTAAGGAATACATGCATCTTTTATTTTTTCTTGGTGAAGTAAGATATTCAAATAATTCTATGGAAAGACCTATATGACATTATCGATTGAAAAAATTAAAATGCAGATTCCATGTGTAATATGACAAAAAAGACAAAAATGCATTTTTTTTTTCTTTTTCTTTTTTGGTACTGGGAATTGAACTGAAGACCTTGTACTTGCCAGGCAGGTGCAGCGCTACTGAGCTAAATCCCTGGCCCCATAAAAAGATATTTTAAGAGATGTTTTTATATAAAAGCACAAGAAAGGAATTAGTTTCAATTCTGTAATATTTGTTTTTTAAAAATACTATATATGCACGTTTTACTTGAATAAGCATAAGCAATTGAAAGAGAATTAGAGCAAGATAAATATTTATTATTATTCTCAATATATTTTCCTACAACATTACTTACATTCTGATTTGTGGGATAGGAAGTAAAAGTATGAGAAAATGTTATTGGAAAGCATCTGTACTTAGCGAACCACAGCTATTTTCGAGTAACTCAAAGCCTATGCTGTTTACGCTGAAACTGTTACCAGCTCAATTATGAAGATATCTGAAAGATGAGACTTTGTTTTAATTTGAATGTTTCTTATGAGCTCATATGATTGTGCTCAAGACTAACCATCTCTAAACCTATGAGTCTCCTAATTTATAACCCATGGTTTAAAAAAGACATTTCTTTTCACCCAAGGCTAACTTAAGGTAAACTGCTTATTCAAGCCCTCAAACCAAGTAAGCTGCATTCATCCACTAATGAGAGTTTAACTGATTATAGAAAGAGGAAGAGAGTAAAATAAAAAATAGGTTTACTGTTACTATTAAACTTGTAAGTCCCTAATAAACACCATACCCTTACAAAAAGTTACCATACACAAAGGTGGACATTATTTTCTCTGAGACTGTACTATAATCACTCTGGTTCAGAACTCATGATGCCCAAGTCCTATGCTAAATGCTTAACAATATTATTTCCGTTACTTCTTAACAATATTTCTGCAGTGAAGATTAAGGAGAAATTACTGGTAAAAAAACCTCTTTTGTCTGGCAAATAGAACAATAAATGTTGTCCTTTATTACAAATTACTATTGCCTAATCTCAAATTTTATTATTTTGACCTTCACTCTACTGTAGCCAGCTATTTTCAAGAAGACTCACTGACTTTTATATGCACTAGTGCCAAGAAATCTTCAAAGGATTCCCACTGCTTACAAAATTAAGTTCAAACTCCTTCTTCATTTGTCATTTGAAAACATGCTACGTATGACACAGCTCCATTTCCCAGCAAATCCCCATTATTCTCTATGCACAGTGGATCCTTAGTGAATGGTTTTAGGACATGCAAAAGAAATACTCTTGCCACTTTCTCTGAAGAATCCTATCCTTCAAGGCTCAGCAGAAATATTGCATCCTTCACAAAGCTGATTCTCTGGAACTCTCATTGTCTCTTAGTATTCAAAGAGGATGAGTTCCAGGACCCTCCAAGAATACCAGAATCAGCAGATGCTCATGTACTTTTTATAAATGGTGATGTATTCTCTTGTATAGTCTATCTCTAGATTACTAATAATACCTAGTGCAATGTAAATCCTCTGTAAATTTTTGTAGTGTAGCATTTAGAAAATAATAACAAGAATAAAAAGAGTTTCTATGTGCTCAATACAGATACAACCATATTAGGTTCAATTTTTTTCACCCTGTACTGGGAATTGAACCCAGGGCCTTCACACTAAACTACATTCCTTCTTTTGAAAATTTTAAATTCTGAGATAGGGTCTTGCTAATTTGCCTAGGACGGGCTTGAAACTTCCATCTTTCTGCCTCAGCCTCCCAGAGTGCTGGGATGCAGGCATGTGCCTGATTAATTAATTTTCAATCTGTGGTTGGTGCAGAACCAACCCATGGCCACAGACAACCAACTGTGCTCATTTGTAAGCTCACAAAAAATAAACAGTATTCATTTCTACATCACTATAGTGCCTAGCAGTATTTTATACAATAAATATTTTACATAGTATTTTACATTCAATAATATAGAAAAATTTCTCTACTGAGAAAGTATGATTTGATAGTCTATATAATTCCTTCTTCAATTTCCTCTTTCATTTAGCCTAATAGCGGTAATGATTCTGTAATAACTCTGGTAATTGCTCCTTTCCCAGTCTTAATTCAACATCTGTGAGACACAATTCTTTCCACAGCAAACAAATAATGTGGCATACCATCAGTGACCTAATGCTAACTAGACTGCCTTATGTTAAAATCATCATGCATTAACAGTGAAGAAAGAAATGTAAAGGAGTCAGGCATATGCTAGAATATTAGGATCATATGTAAAAATTAATAAACGGAATACAAAATTCCTCTTTTCAATTTTGGGTAATTTGTAACCTAGGAACTGAATTTTAAAATCAAAAGATATATGATTCTCTATCCATTTAGTAAATAAAGCCACCTTTTATGGGTCAATTCTGTTTCTAAAGCCATACAAATTGACAAAAGCAATAAACGCCCTTAAAAGCTAACACTTTGTCCATCTGACCATTCATTCTTGGTTAAAAATCTAAGGCATTAGAAAATTGCAGCTGTTAGTTTTTTGTTACATCTAGGACAATTTCAACTATATATGACTTTCTTATCTGGCTTCTTTTAAGCAATCAAATTTTAAAATTAGCCAATATTAATTATACTTACATTTGAAATATAGTTAAATTCTTCACGTAAAAGACCTGTAATACATTATTTGGCTCAATCCAGAAACATTATTTATGACTGCCAATTACTGAAGAATGTATTAGCGTTTTACATGAAGACATCAGTAGCACAGAATAGATGAGGATCTCAGAAAGGAGAATTTGTTTCATTAATTTTATTCCTTCTATTACTCGTGTCATATGTAAACTTCCTAAAGGAGGTCTGCTGTTGTTAATGTTTACTTTTCAATTAGGACCAGAGTACTTTTTGTACATCTATGCAGCTTAGCTCAATAGAATTTCAAATTTATTTTTCGTAAACTGTTTTTGCATTATTTTGCTAGTACTAGCAAACAAGTTAAATTAGAAATAGTCTGGCAAAAGTTATGTTAAAGTCAATAGCATCCACTAATTACCTAGGTGTTAGGGATACTACTGTGTTTAAAGCAAGAAGGCTACAACGTTTGAAAGGAAATTTATGGTTATAGATTTCATAGTAAGGCAATTACACAGCTAATCTTGACTGGTGCCATGGACTTTAGCATACCTGGAAATAGAAAAATTCAAATTGTAGCTGATCTTGGCTGGCCCTTTGCCATTTTTGCAGCTTACAAATTTTTAATTAAGTAACTGCAGTGAGCTCATCTCTACTGGATACTTCTTTTCCAGGGCAGGTCCAGGAACTGGGTCTGGAGCCTTGAAAGCAGAAGAGAAACTAGTGTAAACTACTGTAGGCAAAATAAGAAACGTGACCAGACAACACTGTAAGATCTAACAGCAATAAGGTAGCTCCTAAAGTCTCTAACAAAGTAATGTGAGGTAGAAAAGGGTTTCTTAAATTACAAGTTACAGAGAAAAAGCAAATAGCTTTAGTCAAGGCATTATCTTAATCTACCCAAATTTAGTCTAGATTCCCAATTCTAGAATTTCAAATAGCTTTTATGAAATCTCTAATGGCTTTTTTTTGCGCTATTGGGGATTAAACTCAGGACCTTGGAATTGTGAGGCAGGCGCAGTGACACTGAGCTAAATTCCCGGCTCTAATGGCTTTCAACAACAGCTTGTCTAACAGTAGAATAACTTATCACAAAAAAAAAACAGCAAAATCTACTCTCACTGGTAAAATGGGAATTATAAAGATCTCATTTTCTGGTCATTTTGCAGCTATTTTGCTACTATATTTGCTATCATTTCTTAAATTGCTTCTCTAATTTTCTATGATCAATTCTCAGGGTTTTCTTAAATGTTTTACATAAATCCAAGCAATGAACTAAATTTCAAGTTTTGATTTTTTAAAAAGTACTTGGTAACTCTTAAAGAGACAGGCAAAGAACAGCTCATAAGATGTGGTTTTCAACCACACTAGAAATTCTTTTTTCCATTACCAAAACAGATTCAATGATTTAAAAAATAAAAATAAAAGAAACTGTTAGGCCCATATAAAAACAAAAACCAAAAACAAACTTCCAACTATGAAGGTTACAGAAATAGTAGAACATTAAAAGTGGTAGACTGTTGTACTAATTAGACTTCTAGGGTCTGGAAATGATGTCTTTATGCTTGTAGGTTGGTACCCTTAGGAGTTTTTCTAAGAAACGAATTCCACAGCAGTCAAAATCATCAAAATTCTCTGCTACTGTCAAATGTGAGAACTGTAACTAGACAAAATACATACACACAAAGCGAAGACGGATTCAAAGAACTTAACTTCCTGTTTTTGTAGTACTAGCAATACAAAAGACTAAAAAATTTTTAATGAAAAATGTAAATTTTTAACCTTGATGGCATGTAATAGGTAAGAGAATTCAAGAAGAAAGAGACTTAGGTTCAGGTCTGATTTTGGCATGGCCTTCAATTATACTCTATAAAGTTTCCTTTCTATTAAAATGACACACTACTACTCATCTCAATGGACTGTCATGAGATCTAGTTAAAAACTACATAAAGCACCTAACAGACTGGCACTTGATGGGTATTCAATACATTTTTCTGCTTTAAAAAATAATGAAATCCATTCATTTTGTTGTTCAAAATATGTAAGTACACCTAAGTTTTCATTTTCATAAATGCTAAAGCAACAGCTATGCTTAAGGTTTAACTAAGTCAACTGTGTCACATCCTAGGAGATACAACTATTAACACTGACTTCAGAATAGCTACAAAGTAAATATGTGAGACAGCTTAATTCTGAGAGCTGATGCTGAATTAAAATATTAAAATTTATAAAACAATATAAAATTTACATTTAGGATATAAAGATAATTTATCGTGACAGAACATAATATTTTTCTCCTGAACATACTTGATTCAACATACTTATTTTAATGTTACAAATACTAAAAGACAGCATCTTAAAAAACAAAAAAGCAATCAATACATGGTATAACTTGGTATGTCAGGAAATGCTTTAACAGCAAAGAAAAACCTTACATATGGGCAATAATTTTCCTCTTACTGATAGAACAGTGGGTTCCACACAAAATTATTATTTACCAAATATGGCTCAAAGATCAGATTACACGTTCTCTGACATTACCGAGTAATAGAGCAAGTATCACAAACCACAAGGAATTTAAAAAAAAATTATTTCCTCATAGTCACTCTAAATGTATTCACTCCACAACTTTATTTCAAAATTGTTCTTATTCAAAATGAAGAAGATTAAATTGGTGTATTGTTCAGAAAGCAAAGACCAAAACACTTCAGAGAAACAATTATTGTGTACTTTAACTTTATAGCTAGTCATACTGAAATTTCATTATTCATAGTAGCATTTTAGTTTATTTTGACTTTTCCAGATACATACTGTCATCTATAAATAATAATAAACTTGTCTCCTTTTCAATCATTATACACCTGTTTTTAGGTCTAATTATATTGGTTAGCATTTCCAAGACAATGTTATATAAGAGAACACTACTACATTGTTGGTGGGACTGTAAACCAGTATAACTACTTTGTTCCTTTTTTTTTTTTTTTGATACCGGGGATTGAACTCAGGATCTTGTACTTGTGAGGCAGGTGGCGGAACCACTGAGCTAAATCCCTGGCAGTATAACCACTTTGGGAAACAGTATGAAGACTTCTCAAAAAAATAAAAACAGAAATTCCATTTGACCCAGCTATACCTCACCTAGGTATCTTCCCAAAAGAGCTAAAGTTATTATACTACAGTGATACATGCATACCCATGTCTGCAGCAGCACAATTCACAATAGCTAAAATGATAGAAGCAGCTTGTATCTTCTTCAACAGATGAATGGATAATGTGGTATATATACACAATGGAGTACTACTTGGCCACGAAGAAGGATAAATTTGAGTCATTTGTAGGAAAACGGTATTGAGACCATAACACAGTACTAAGTGAAATAAATCAATCAAAAAGGGTTAAATATCACATGGCTTCTCTAATATGAGAGACACAAAATATTAAAAAGTGAATAAGAACAGTAAGAGCCATGTTAAGCAACAGGGAGGGAGATTCTGTAGAGAAGGGAATGGGATCTGGGGAGGAGAGAGGAGAGGGCAGAATGAGTAGGGGGAATAAAAGTGATCAAGATACTTTATATTTATCAAAGCCCAAGCTCAATGTATCACCATGTCACAAACATATACTGAAAAAGCCTGGTGTGGGGTGAACATCTGTAATCCCTCATGACTTAGGAGGCTAAGGCAGGACTGCTGTGAGTTCGAGGCCAGCCTCGGGGTATATAGTGAGTTCAAGGCCACCTTGCATTACAGAGTGGGACCCTGTCTCAAAAAACAAAACAAACTATATACATATTTGGCCAGATTTTTTTTTTTTTTT